TGGTGGTGGTGGTGGTGGTGGTCGGTGACACCCACCACCACAACCACCAGCATTCCACCAAGTATGAATCAAGCTGCTGGTGTCACCGTCATCGCTGCTGTTGCAGCCTCGACACTGCACTTGAATGATAACGCCGCGTACCTCGGGCCATACCGGGTCGGTGCCGCACCTTCGTTGCCACTGTGTCCCGTTACCGCTGCAATACAAGCATGCCACGTAACCGTGTCTTCAAATTGCTGCTGCTTACCATCCAAGTGGCAACCCTTCTGCCAGAGGGCCCTAGGAGGGGCCGTTGTGGGCGGTGCCCCCTGGACTCCTGCTCGCGCAAAGCACACGGCACCAGGCAACACATTTACCGCAGCTAGCCCGCGTCCCTGTGCCAACTATACGACATCGCACCACCACAATCGTCGACATGGCTCTCTCCCAGAAGGCTGCCTTCGGCTCGCGCCTGACCGCCAGGAAGGGCCTGGCGCCCGTGCGCGCGGCTGTCCGGCCCGTGGTGGCGCGTGCTAGTGCCCAGAGCCACAAGGTAACATCTTTAGCTACTCTTCACCGGGATCAGCTCTGTCGAGAGCATGCCACACCAATATCAGTCTGTGGCCCTCAAGTCCAGCCCATTGGCCACTGAACGATTTTCAAAGTACTTGTTGATTCATAATGTTGCACAGGCTCAGATGGCAGCTGTCACTGCGGGAGCTGGCGCGGCATTCTTCATGGCCGTGCCCGAGGCCGCGCAAGCCGCTCAGGAAGCCTTCATGATGGCCGAGGTGGGCCATCAGATCCTTGGAAGCACGGATGGTTAGCGGTCTGCGGTGCCGGCACGCTCTGCTGTTGCCCTGCTTCAAGTCAGGAGCAACAAGTTGCACAAGCAGTGTGCACAGTGGCAATTCCCTGATGGCTGCGAAGTCCTGAGGCGCTGCACCCCTTTGCAAGTGCAGTCATCGACTGCACATGCTTAGGCACCAACTGAGGGGCTCAGCTGCAGAGGCTCAAGAGTTCGATCCGTGCAGGTCAACCCCTATGAATTGACCTGATCCCGTTTGGAACTGCCACCCCCACTTGTCCCCGCATCAGGGTGAGCCAGCTATCGTGCAGATCGGGTGGGCGGCCACCGCTGTTATGTTCTCCTTCTCCCTGTCCCTCGTGGTCTGGGGCCGCTCCGGCATGTGATTGCTGGTGCCGCGTGAAGATTAGCAGCAGCAGCAGCAGCGGCGACGGCCTCGGCAGCGTCGGCGGCAGCTGCAGCAGCTGCCGTTCCTTCGGCGCGTATTAGCAGCATCACTGAGCGCACGGGGACCGAGGTGCTGTGGTGCCCGCGGCGTTGCCCCAGGTGACAGCGGCCGGCCGCCCCACCATCCGACAGGTGCCCGCCAGACCAGCCCGCTGCGCCATTCGCCGCACTTGCGAATGCGGGGCCTGTCTGTCGGCAGGATGCACGTGTCCACAGGGATTGCGAGCCACGCACCCGGCTGTAGTGTGAGCTTTGTGAACACTGCACCGCTGGCCGCTAACTTGGTTTTTTTCGAACAGGCCCCAGAGACGACGAGCGGCTGGGGCCGCCCCAGGAGCCCGCGCGGTGTTGGGCAAGCCCCCTTCGTAATCGCGATGAAGCCACCCAGCCCATTACACCGGCGACATGTTTGATTGCACGCAGGTGCAGCACCACGCCCCCCTGTGTAATCGTCCCAATGTTCGTGCAACGATGTTTCCTCAGAAATGGGTCATCTGCAATACTGACCGCCAGAGTGACGAAATGGGCACGCTGCGACAGCGACCGTGCAAGTGTGCTTGGAACAGCAGCCTGCAGCTGTGATGCACGGAGCCTCCACAGAGAGAAAGCTGCTCCTGCCATCGACCACGCCAACGCACCCGGCCGGCCGAGGGCACCGCTGCCGCACCGTGGTGCCTGTGCGCATCAGAAGCAGCACTCGCAGTCAAAGGGGCACTTGTCCGTGTTGCCGCCCTTGCTGCCCAGGCCCAGCTCGTCCTCTGTGTATATGGTAAATCCCTCCTCCGTCTTCTTGCGCGCCTTGCCGGCCGCCTGCCCGAAAATGTCGTCCTTGCTGCCCTCCACCTTGGCCTTTTGGCCCTGGCGACAGGGCGCCAATCGCATGCACGTGCGCATGAGCGGAAAGCGGTCGACCATGCGAAGTATGTGAGACTGCACCTCCCTCGAGAACGCAGCACAGCCAGGGGTAGCCGCCAGGTACGCTTCTGGCATCGTCTACTTCGGGCAAGCCCACAACCAGAATTGCACGGCCGCCCCTGGACTTGCCTATCAAACAGCCAGGTGCATCCTCACAAGATGGTGGACCGCGGCAGCTCCGTAACTGCCACAGGCTTACCTGCTGCTTCTCTCTGGCCGACTTGACCTGTGCTGCCAGCGCCGACAGCGCAGCAACGTCCGCAGCGCCGCCGCCCTCGTCATCACCGCCTGCCGCGGCCTTCGCTACCTTTTTTGGTGGCTTGCTGCTGAATATGTCGTCTATCTCATCCTTACTGCGCTTAGTGGCCTTCTTTTCCGCCGAAGGTGGCTCTTTCGTCGGTTCGACAGCAGCTGGCGCCTGCTTCGTGTGCTTGGCGGTGCCTTCGACAGTCGCCTTGGCCTTCTTCGTCATTCTGGTTCCCTGATACGGCCACGCTTCGACCCCCAGCGACGTTGCCCGGCGCCCAGCCGGGCGAGGCGCAGGGTGGTCGCCTGCTGCTGCCGTGCTCGAGTGCGGCTCTGTGGACTGCGTCGGGTTTCTTCCGACTTACACTGCATGGTAGGGTCAGCACAATTGACATACAAAAATTGCATAAAGCGCCGGCGGATGACATCCGCACCTCTCCGGCGCGGTCCGGCGGCCGAACGGGCGCATGCGGCGGGCTCCTGAGCGCCGCCGCCGCCGCTCGCACACACCACAAAAAAGGTTGTTGAGGAACAAACAAACACAAACGCCCTCCGCCCCGTGCGCCCCCACCGCGTCACGCACCGCCCCCTGGCCCCCGCGCCCGCTACCGCCGCAGCACCGCCTCCGTCACCGCCCCCTGCGCCACGGGGCGCCCCACCGGCTTGGTGCGTGCGCGCCCGTCCGGGATCAGCAGCAGCACCGCGGGCGCGCCCTCCGCCCAGGGGCGGTCCACGATGTAGTAGCCGCGGCGCTCGAGCTGCAGCACGTCGCCCTTCTTGAGGGCGCGCATGTTCAGGTCGCCGATCGCCCCGGTCTCGTACTTTGTGATCTGGTTGACTAATGCCTCGAAGTCGTCGTCCTCCTCGACCTTCTTCTTTGATATCAGGTAATCAAAATCAAGCAGCTGCGGGGGCGGCCGGAAGTTGGGGGCTTTATTAGGGAGGGGGGGCGGCTGGGCACGAGGGCGGTTCTGGGGTCGGCTTGCGCGGGGTCGGGCCGGCTTGAGCGGCGCGCGGCACGCGCACAGCTGCAGGGACCAGCTGCCAGGCGATACCTCGTCGGCAGCCTCGCCGGGCCTGCGCCCTGCGCCGCCTGGCAACCCCTCGCCGGCCCCTGCCCCCGTGCGTCCGAGCCTGGGGTGGCCTGGGGCGGCGCTGCGCAGCGCGCACCTGCAGCGGGGTGAGCTCTGGCCGGATGTCTGCGAGCCACGTGAGCTTCAGCTTGGTCTTCTTGGGGTCACCTCCTGGATTCAGCTTGCCTGGGTTGTGTGGCATGCGTTTGAAGGTGTGAGATTGTGACTGGCTTTGTGTGTGCTGCGTGCTGCATGAGCGTGGGTGTGCGTATGTGAGCGCGCGCGTGCAAGTGAGCGCGCATGTGCACATTTGTGTGGATGTACAAGGGAGCTGGCGGCGTGAAAAGGCGGGTGCAAAGGCAGCAGGGGTGGGCTGGGGGGAAGGGGGCTGGGGCTGGCATGGGGGTCCTTGTGTGGAGGCGCGGGAGGCTCGGAGGCGCGCCGCAGGGCGGGCTCCTCGCGCCGCGGCGCACGGGGTGGGCCCTGGAACAGGCAGGGGGCGGCTGGGACGGGGCGCGCGGCGTCGCGCGACCCACGCCCTGGCGCGTGCGGCGGGGTTTTGGGTGCTGTGGTCGTCATTATGCGAGGCCGCTGCTCACCCGTGAGGGCCGTGACCTTGCCGTCTACATCCTTGGAGATGGCCTGGGGCAGGGGTGGGGTGGGGTGGGGTGGGAGAGCAAACGCATGCGCTAAGGCGGGCGCAGGGACGTCGGGGGCGAGCTGCTTCGACGGCATGTGTGTGTGTGTGTGTGTGTCTGTTGTGTGTGCGCGCGTGCGCGCGTGCGCTTGACGATGCCAACACACACAGCAACCAGCGCCGGGCCGGCACCATGCCCCCGGCTGCTGGCCTGGGGGACCCGGGGCGCCGGCGCGCGGGGCGCCGCGCTGGTGGAGCTGGGCTCGTCCCTTGGCCTGACGCGTCCCGGCCGCCCCCAAGCGCAGGCGGGTGCGTCGCGCCGCCCTCTCCCAGCAACGTATCCCCGCCACCCTGCGCGGCGCGTTGCATCTGCCAATGCGCGGCCCTGCACCCGCCCCCCCTCTCACCGTGACGATTGCGTTGCCCCAGTCCATGAGCGTCACCTCCTCGCCTTCCTGGACTGCCGCCGCGTCGGCCTGGTCCAGCAGCACCCTGGCCAGCTTCACCAGCGTCTTGGTGCCGGCGGGGGGGTGCTGCGGGGCGAGGG